ATGGGTGTCAGCAATGAGCGAGAGTGTTTGTATTTTTCTTAAATTAAAGCTTGTGCTTGAGCTTGATAAATTGCCTTGTCACGAAATTTTGTAATCGGTTTATTCATATATATTTGAGTGTATGTGTGTGTGTAATGTATATGCATTTGCCATGTATGTATATATATATGGGGGGGGGGGGTTGTATACATGCATGTACATAAGTTAGAGATTGAATAACAAACACTTAAGTAAACATTTCCATCGATTTTATTCATTCACTTCACTCACCCACTTCACAGCATTCACACATACATGCACATACATGGTACTTCGTTTTCTTCTTCTATTAACCAATGCCCACACATACACGTGTACCCACTTCCCACAGAGAGAAAGAGACACACACACAAACAAAAGCCATAATAAATTACTTGACATGTGTGGGAGTTGCTGATGTTTTGAGTTCCATGGTTACGGGGAAGATGACGGCCAAAATTTATTTGTAGCAAATATTTGCAGCGTCTGTTTAAGGTCTTCCTGTCACTGGGATAATGGGTGTTGACATCTATGTCAGCCCCACCCACTGTAATTACGACTAATAATGTTTAGTTAGGAAAGAATTTAAAACAAAATTCGGTTGAGGGTTTTTTTCTAGCTAAGCCGTATTGATGACAAATAGGCAAGAAACAAATATTGTCCTTTTTTACTTTGAAAAGGTTTTTGGCAGGAGTTGTGCATTTAAACGATTTGTTATACCCTTCGTCAAAAGATGTGAAGTTAAATCTCTAAGTATTTGTTGGATACATCAGAAATCTTGGTCGTATGATGTCTATGTATTGGTCCTTTCATTAACATTAAGTTAGTGTCCACATTACTTGTTTCGGATTTTTTTCGATATCATAAAGGAAAATCGGTTATCGATTCAGTTCTGGAACAGGGCAATTGTCATAAGCAGAGCTTTAAATGTTGTCAAATGTTTGTATCATATCTCGATGGATTGACATTGAAAATGGACAGCCAGGGTAAGGTATGACTTTATTATAACATAACCTTCTGATTTCGATTTTTTTGCTTTTCAGCACACAATATCCAGCACACTCGGTCTCTCATTTCTCATTTCTTAAGGAAAATATTATATGCTCAGTATAATGGAATATTTGGCAGGGAGTGCTTATTATCTATGACAAAGTGAATCGCCAACATAAAGCCAAATTGGTTGGAAATATAACTGAATCCTTAATTTAAATCGTTGAAGGCATTTTGACATTTTTATACCCTCCACCATACTATGGAGGGTATATTAACTTTTTCATTCCGTTTGTAACTCCTCGAAATACTCATGTCAGACCCAACAAAGTATATATATTCTTGATCAGCGTAAAATTCTAAGTTGATTTAGCCATGTCCGTCTGTCTGTTTGTTTGTCCGTTTGTCTGTTGTAATCACGCTATCTTTCGAACAAATTGAGATATAAGCCTAAAATTTTGCACACCTGTTTATTTTTCCAGTAGGCAGGTTAAGTTCGGAAATGGGTCATGTAGGTCCACGTTTTCGTATAGCCCCCATATAACGGTACCTCCCGATATTCGGTATTTTGATGATTTTAGCGACATTATTCACCGGAATCGTTTCAAATTTGGTATTTGAGATTCGTAATGGATACTACAGCCTATGACAGAAAATTGTCTATGCAGGGCCAGGTCTTCGTATAGGCCCCATATACCAGTACCTCTCTATATTCGGTATTTTGACGAGTTTAGGTACAATACCCACCGAAATTGTTTGAGACGAGTATTTCAAGTTCGTAATGGATGCTACAGCCTGTGACAGAAAATTGTCTATGCTGGTCCAGGTCTTCACACAGCTCCGACATAACGGTACCTCACTGTATACGATATATTGATGATTTTAGCTACGTAATTGACCGCTTATTTCAAGTTTCGAATTTGAATATGGTAATGGCTTATGACAAACAATGCCTATGTAGGTCCACGTCGTATAGACACCAATATAAAGGCTATATTCGGTATTTTTAAAAATTTTTAAGGATTTTATTTTTTGAAAAATTCCAAATTCGTTCCAAATGGTGGAGGGTATTCAAAGTTCGGCCCAGCCGAAATTACTGCTTTTTAACTTGTTATATCTTATTATGTAGAACCTATTTCAATGTCTCCATATGTAAACCCCGGAAACCAGTGACCTCAATACCAGATTTTCAACTCTATCCCTTCACCTATAAGTAACAATTTAACAATTTAGTAACAATATCAAAAAAAAAAAAAAAACAATGAAGAAAAGTCAGAAGTCGGTCAAAATATGATACCCTACACCACTATGCATATTTAGTGGTAGAGCTCCCGTAATTAAAGAATTTATTTTAAGTAGATCATACCACCTATCAGCATTTGGCTTTATAGCAGTTATAGTTTGGTTTCGGAGGGAACTAATATATAGGAGGCATACCCAATTCTGAATCGATTTTCACTAAATTTAACGGTGACATTTTAATCTTTGATACCATCTATATCTGAACCGATTTTCTGCAAATTTGATGTACTTGTTTCTAGACAAAATTCGGTTGGATATGCCAAAATTTAGGTTATTTAGATTGATATTGGCTATTTGGTGCACAATTAACCCGAAATCGGTTGAAGATATATATGGGAGCTATATTCAAATCTAAACCGATCTTGACAAAATTTGATACACTTATTTCAGAGCTTTATCTGATATCTGGTACCAAAGATCATTGTTGTGGAATGCATATTACGCGTGTTCGGACTTTAAACCCCAAATCGGATAAAACAAAAATTCAGGTTATTTGTACTGATATTGGCCATTTGGTAAAAATATATATGGGAGCTATAACCAAATCTAAGCCAATCTTCATAAAACCCAAATCGGATGAAACATATGTATGGGAGCTATAGATATATTTGAACGGATTTTCACCAAATTATATGTATTTCCTTCTATGCTGAATTTCGTCGGAAGTGCCAACTTTGGACTGATATTGACCAATAAGTGCACAATTAACCCGAAATCGGTTGAAGATATGTATCTAAATTTGAACCGATTCTAACCAATTTCGATAGGGTTCGTCCTTGGGCCAAATATATATTGTTTGTAAAATTTCATCAAATTGAATAAAAATGCGACCTGCATTGTGTTCACAAGAATGGACGGACGGACGGACGGACTGACATGCATAAATCGACTCAGAAAGTGATTCAATGAAGATCGTGAAAAATATTTCATTATTTATCTCGCTTCCTTCTCCATAATACAAACAAATTCACAAAGACATAATAACCTTACCACTTTGGTGTAGGGTATAAAAATTTTAATATTTTATTGGCGCCCAAGCATTGTTAATATTGTTTGGGATATTGGGAGAAAAGTGATTTTGGACATAAACAATACAAATAGTACAAAATAGTACTCAATTTGGAACCATTGGTATTGCGAGCATGAATGGAGCATGAAATTTTTTTGAGGTAATTGTTGGTATTTGGTTGGATTATAGAGATAGCCTTTGAGATTCGCTTTATAAATCTTCGAAAAGAAAAGTATATGAAGGTAAGTTTTCTTTACCCCTCTTTTTTTATACCCTCCACCATAGTATGGAGGGTATATTAAGTTTGTCTTTCTGTGTGTAACATATCGAAATATACATTTTAGACCCCACAAAGTATATACTCTTGATCAGCATAAAATTCTATGTCGATTTATCAATGTCCGTCCGTCTGTCCGTCTATCGGTCTGTGGAAATCACTCTAGCTTCCGAAAGAAATAAAGTAGGTTGATAACATTTTACTCAGATATGTATTATGTCTGCGGAACTTTTGGTATCGAAAATGGGCCACGTGGACCTACGTCTTCGTATAGCCACCATATAACGGTACCTCCCGATATTCGGTATTTTGATGATTTTAGCTACATTTTTACCGGAATTGTCTTAAAATTAATATTTAAAGTTCGTAATTGATACTACGGGTTAAGACAGAAAATGGTTCATGTAGGTTCACGTCTTCGTATAGCCCCCATATAACGGTACCTCACGATATTCGGCATTTTGATGATTTTAGCTACATTTTTTTACCGGAATTGTTTCAAATTTGGCATTTGAAGTTCGCAATAGATACTACAGCATAAGACAGAAAATGGGCCATGTAGGTTCATGTCTTCGTATAGCCTCCATATAACGGAACCCCCGATATTCGGTATTTTGATGATTTTAGCGACATTATTTACCGGAATTATTTCAAATTTTGTTCGTAATGGATACTACAGCCTATGACAGAAAATTGTCTGTGCAGGACCACGTTCTATAATCCCCATGGTACCTCCCTATATTCGGTATTCTGATGATTTTAGCCACATTATAAACAGATTTTCTATGAAGTTTCGCATTTGAATATTGTAATAGCTTGTGACAAAAATTGCCTATCCAGGTTCACGTCGTGGTATAGACCCTAATATACGGCTACATTCGGTATTTTTAAGATTTTAACAGAATATTTTTTTTTTTTTGAAAATTGTAAAATTTGTACCAAATGGTGGAAGGAATTCAAAGTTCGGCCCGGCCGAACTTATAGCTTGTTTACTTGTTTTTATATATAGTTGCGACCACAGTGTAATGTAAGGTTGCTGGTTATGAATCCCTAACTTTTTTTTGCAGAAAATTTCAGTTTGCCGATTAGAGAGGAGGATTAATTGCAGAGCTCTCTCTTTAAATTTACCTCTCTAACAAAGAAATTGACAATTTGGGCAATTATAATTGACTAGTATAAATCCGGTCATACTTGATGTTAATTGATTCAATGCCAGACTAATTTTTGTACACGAATGTCAGACAATTTTCTCAGAGAGTGCAATTACATACATACATATACATTTGTTATTAATAGTTAACGCTTAATTTTAATCAACATTTATTTTCGTACAATTGTTAATATCACTATTCCTTCTTTTTTTCTGGATGCTAACAAAGACTCTCTGTTTTCTTATCATTACAGCGTTAGCCGTATGTGGCCATTATCAGCATCATTATACCATATGTGGGTATGGGTGAGTGTTTCCAAACCCTACCCCCCAGACCAAATCAACCGCTCACGATTATCCTTCTGGGGAAAAGCAATGCAGTGATGAAACTTGTCATTAATCATTCTCAGAGTTTTCCTTGTTTGTTTGGCGTCCTTCAATGAAGAATGTTGTTTGTGTGTGTGTGTCGGTGAGGAAAAATAAAAAAAAAATCAGCCTTTGTTGGCTGGCTATCTCTCTGTTCCCGGTAAGTGAGCAAATTTGCATTTTATTTGTCATTTTGTTTGTTTGTTCCTTTTCGTTTTCCATAGAAATTGGGAAAATTTGTCATCATTCACATAAATTGGAATTTATTATGGAAGTCAAGTTTTTTTTTCTTTTTTTGCTTTTCATGTCTAGTTTAGGCTGATGGTTATTTTCAAATTGTAACCATTAATATTCTGAAGGGGACCCTCATCAAAAGGTCTCTATGTATGTAAAACAAATAAAGACGTTTTCAAACGAATATGTTATTGTGTGTGGGCGTCATTTACTTGGTATATCTTAAATATTTTCAATATCTGATAAAGATTTAAGGAATCGGAAAACACAGGTTTTTAACTTGTAACTATTGAAATAAATCGTAACAAAAATTGAACAAATAATGTGAATGCAATCGTAATCTGAAGTTTTGATATTTTGTTAATGTTTTTATTTACTTAAATTAAATTATTCATAACAAAAAATTATTATAGGAAAAAATCAGTAAAGCAAAAAATCAGACCTCCAAAAAACACGCTCGAATTTGTACAAAGAATAAAACTCAGTTGAATTCAATCGAGTGCGCTCTTGGGATCAAAGAAAAAAATGAGCAAACTAAATTTTTTGATGATGAGAGAATGCAAAATTGATTTAAAATCGAGCAGATTCTGCTCTTGTCTAGCACTCTTTTAGTTTTTGTCATACCGTTGTTGTATTTCTATGTATGTGTATTTTTCTGTACACGAGCGATTTTGTTCCCACTCTAATTTTTCAAACAGAAGTGACTTGGGAGTGATCCCCCTAAACAACAAAAGGGTATAGATTGGACTCCGTAAAAACCATAAACAGCATAATAGCTCCGTTGGCGAAACTTCTATGTATAGGTCCACGTTTTGTATAGCCCCATATATCAGTACCTCCGGATATTCGTTATTTTGAAGAATGTTGCTACATTTCTATTTGTGGCTCATAGTGGGTTCTAATGTTTCCTTTACCCAAAGGTAGAGGGTATTAAAAGTTTGGCCTGGCCGAATTCATTTTTATACCCTCCACCAAAAAGGTATGGAGGGTATATTAAGTTCGTCATTCCGTTTGTAACTCATCGAAATAACCACTTTAGACCCAACAAAGTATATATATTCTTGATCAGCGTAAAATTCTAAGACGATTTAGCCCTGTCCGTCCGTCTGTCCGTCTGTTGTAATCACGCTACAGTCTAAACGAATTAAGATAGGAAGCTAAAATTTTGCACATATCTCTCTTTTGTCTGTATGCAGGTCAAGTTCGAAGATGGGCTATATCGGTCCACGATATCGTATAGCCCCCATATAACGGTACCCCCCAATATTCGGTATTTTGATGATTTTACCCACATTTTTCAACGGACTTGTCTGAAAATCCACACAAGGAGTTCCTTGTGGGTACTTTATACCTCGGCAGAGAATTATCTATATAGGTCCACAATATCGTATAGCCCCCATGTAACGGTACCCCCGATATTCGGTATTTTGATGATTTTAGCCACATTTTTCAATGGAATTGTCTGAAATTCCACAAAAGGAGTCCCTTGTGGGTATTTTACCTCCTCAAAAAGAATTGTCTATATAGGTCCACGATATCGTATATCCCCTATATAACTGTAACCCTCGATATTCGGTATTTTGATGATGTTAGCCACGCTTTTCAATGGAATTGTCTTGAAATCAACACAAGTAGTTCCTTGTGAGTACTTCACCCCCTGAGAGAGAATTGTCTTTACAGGTTCACGATGTCGTATATCCCCCATATAACGGTACATCCCGATATTCGGTATTTTATGATTTGACCCACATTTTTCATCGGATTTGTCTGAAAATCCACACATGGAGTTCCTTGTGGGTACTTTATACCTCGGCAGAGAATTATCGATATAGATCCACAATATCGTATAGCTCCCCTATAACGGTACCCCGCGATATTCGGTATTTTGATGATTTTACCCACATTTTTCAACGGAATTGTCTGAAAATCCACACAAGGAGTTCCTTGTGAGTACTTTACACGCAGACATAGATTTGTCCTTATAGGTCCACAATATCGTATATCCCCCCATATATCGGCACCTTCCTATATTAGATATTTTAAAGATTTTAAAATAATTTTTATTGGATTTTATTTTTTGTTTTAATTTTCTAATTCGTTCCAAATGGTGGAGGGTATTCAAAGTTCGGCCCGGCCGAACTTACTGCTTTTTTACTTGTTTTATCTTTTTATCTCCACTTTCATAATTCCTGCAATTTTCGAATTTTGTCGCTGGTGCGTATGATTTATTTTATGTTAGCATTTGCATAAAGTATACGCCACCGTTTACTTGGTTGAAGTCGATTTAGTCGTGTTGGTCAAGTTTTGTTTCGAAGAGGTAACTAAATTGACCAAAAACTGAAAAATTTCCTGATTTTGCAGTTGCTATACAGGTCGCAATTATTGACCAATCAATGCGGAAGTTGGTCAGGGGTCTTCCAATACCCGATTTAGTGGATATTTAGTAGGTGAAATATACCAAAATATTTGTGTTAAATTAAAGTCAAATTTTCCATTCAATATTTTTGATCCCAGCGAAATCACAAATAGACGAGAAGGTCATTTCTGACCGTTACGTTAGCATTTTGGATGACCATTGGATTATATTTATCTGTAAAATGAACCACAACAACTAATAGCACAACGGAGTGCCTAAATATTGGGCAAATGTCCCTGGTCAAAAAGCTAAGGGCAATATCCATCGTCCTTCTATTCGTTCGTCGGTCTGTCTCGCTGGTGCGCACGATAACTCTCGAAGGTAGTATCCGATTTGGTCGAAATTTGGTACTTCATAATATTTTTGTCAAACTTAGATCGAGTTCTAAGATGGGCAATGTCGGTCCCCTCCTTCTGGTACCTCCCTCACAAAATCCTATAAAATGAGACGTAAGAGTCCCATCAGACATCCAATTTTTTATTAACACAAGGTCTGGTGTGAGGATGGAATATATCGGTCCACTCCTTCTGGTACATCCCCTACAAAGTGTCAAGATTTTGAATATCCATGAGGCTCATAAAACGCGAAATTAATCTGCCCCACATAGGGTTAAAGATTTAAAAAATAAACGCTGAAAGACAGCGAAATAAACATCTAATTTTCTTTAAATTTCACACACACAAACCTTTTTGCTAACACATGATCTGTTGTGGAGATGATATATGTCTGCAAACCGCTTCTAGTACCTCACCCACAAAGGGTTACAATTTTCAATACTTTTATCTGCCATAACTTGCGAAACCAGTCAGCGATTTTTTACAACTTGCTATATCTAAATATTTCTCTCAACCAGAGACCTGAGATGGAATGGAATGGAATTTATGATTTCGCATAAAATTGGATCTAAATGGTCGATTTTCCATATGTAGGCAGTGTAATTTCTATGAAAAATACATTCGAAATTTATATTGCGGGCAGAACATTTTTTCTTACATTTTTTCTGCTAATTGTGCACGTTGTAGAACGGATTAATTTCGAGACGTAACCTTAAGACAAATATCAGGAGATATTTAACCCACTATCATGATTTCAATATACCGACGGAAGGACGGGCATGGTTTATTCGACAAGACTCCTTTCCGCATCGGAGTGCGGAAATTGTCCATCATTGAATGTTTCTTCTCAAATGGCATTTCCAGTTACTCACTACAAATTATTTCTTGAACTCATTTCTTCTCCTATACCCTCTCACACGCTGCAATATTAAATCCAATAAATTCCTTAGCTTTCAAAGAGAAGAAGAAAATATTGTTGCGTTATGCCATCAACACATACACACATCTCCACACAAATTCATCTACCCACACTGTCATCATATTCATATGCATATTTGTCTAGTATTTTTTTGTTCGTCACACACTCATGGACAAACTTACACTCGTAGGTACATCCATTATGCCAACACATTGCCACGGATAACCCCGTCACTTTGTTTGCATGTCAGGATCACTGAAACTGAAGTGAAGAAGAACACTTTAATTTATGAGAATCCCCATAATTCCATAAGCATAATTAGTTTTCAAACCATAAAAAAACTGAAACCTACAACAACTGAGTGGCAGACTGGTTGGCTAGTTGGGTGGCTGGCTGACTGCCTGTCTGCCTGACTGACTGAATAACAGATTGGTTTGGTTGGTGGTGGTGGTGGCTTTGGCGAGCATTTGCTGAATAGTAAAAATATTGCCTTCGTTACTGCAGATGTTGGTTATGATGATGGTCTTGGCATTGCAGATCCTTGAAAGTCAAACCAGGCAAACACACACATACATACACGTACCCGCACACTCACTCAGAACAAATCAAACTGACAGAGATAATAAAAACATGATATGTAAATGCGAAGGATTTATTAGATGGATGTTATCATCACACACCAAAACAAACATCTCTTCACGCATCAGTGTTGGGAACCAAAATTAGATTTCAATTTGGAGAAGAACACCAAAAAAAAAAAAAAAAACGCACACACTTCAAAAACCCTATTTTATTAAAATTCCTCTGTTTGATCCTATGTGAATAGAATGTGATATATGGACCACAACAAAAAAAATATCATGGCAACCGTTCTATTTGATCATATTTAAGATATGCTAGGGTTTGTGCTAGTATTAAAAAAGTTCCAAATGCAGAACTATTTGAAATACCACGAGTCGGATGCAAGTAAATATATAGGTACAACTGATATTATAATTGCATCCACTAAATTATGAATTCAAAGTTTTAATTGTAGTATCTGCAAAAAAGTGTAAATGTATGCAGGAAGACCTTCCAACGCCAAGGTTGTCACATCAAAATTATCATCGTCTGAATATTTAAATTAGAAAGAGTAAAATTAGGTACAATTTTTTAGTTATTTTAAGATTTAATTAAAAAATTTTTCTGAGACGTTATCATAGTAAGTCAAAATATTGTTACAAATTATTTGCTATAAAATCATACTATAGGCCTCA